GATATTTCTTCCTTTTCTTCCTCTTTTCTTTCGCTTCTCTGTCCACCATAGAACCATCGTTTTCCTCTTTCGTTTCTTCCTCTTTCGCTCATTGTTGATCCTGGGCAGATTTTGGTGATATTTGTGTTCAATTGGATGGATTTGGTTTCTAAGCAAAGATATGGGTTTCGAAGGGACTAACAATTTGGGGAAGAGTTCTATAGCTTTCTCATGTAAAAAACGTAAACGAATATGAACCGGAATAGTGTTGAAGAAATCGGACTTTGAATTTGATTAAATCTGAAATTAACTTCAGTTTTGACATAAAAGAAGAATCTGTAATGAGCATCATCATTATATCATCCACAATACAAAAATATGTCAATCCCCCCCCCCCTTTCTTATTTAGTTTTGATGTTAAACCTTATGATTATTAATTATAGATATTATGTAATTTTAAATGTAAATAACCATTAGCCGAAAACGCTATTTAACCATTAGCCGAAAAGTAACAACACAAGCACAAACTCTTTCCTTACGGAACTGGAACCATAATGTTGGCATAGACCCTCTGCTCCTTTAATCTTCTGTTTGCATTTAAAATCACAATCTGTCTTAACAAAAAAATCTGTTTTCTGTGGAATAATTGGTCGACAACTGTTTGGGCTAGTGAACATTGCCCCTTACTCCTGTAGTTATTGTAGTTAAAACATAAGATCTCAGTTGTGATAATGAAAATGGAAGAATAATTTGTTTTTTCCATCTCCTGAAAATAGATATTTCAAAAGTTCTCATCATATAAATTAATAAAAAAAGACAAAATTCATTGATTACTTTTAAGAAAAAGCATCACATTTTAACCCAAAAAAAAATTACATAGAAATAATTTAGAAGTATCTTATAAATTAACATAAAAACTACAAAGCATCAAATATTAACGAAATTAAAAGCTATAGTTTGCCACATTTATTTACCTGGTACGAAACGAGAAAAAAACAATGGAAAAATGTTGAATCAATTTATTATATCACAATAATTTTGAATAATATTTCACGACCATATATTTTTTATATACAAAGGCCTTTAACCATAATAGGTAACGGAAGTCTTAAACTATATTCGGGGATCAATTTTCTACGTCTAACACAAAATATTTGTAACCCAATTTTCTAGATCTATCTAGTATATATAGAGTTAACACAAATTATATAAATTAGTAAAACTCGTACTTTAGGAACAAATATTATGTTATTCAAAATAATTTGATAAAAAATAATAATATACTAGAGCAATTCTAAATGCGTATACTAACCTAACACAAGAATGATGAAGATAACTAGAACGGTGAAAGAGAGCTGAAATGATTTCTTCATCCTAGATAATTGAAATGTATTGATAGTACTTGTTTTAAAATTGAAAATAAATAAGAACATGTACTTATTTATAGAAAAAGTTAGATGCATTATACACTGAAACATATCTAATTTAAGCTATTTACCTCCTTAACTTTCAATTACGCAATTTGAGGTTTCTCATATGTTAAAACATGAGACTCGCTCGTTCTGTGTAATTTTTATTTCACAATTTAAACAAAAATGATTAAAAATTAAAAAAAAATGTACAGAACGGGTCCTTCGGATTTGATGGCTCTAACCCAAAAAATAATTGGGATAGTTGCACAAATAACCCACAATTTGTGGTCAATGTTAAACCTATACCCCTATATCCCCTCTCTCTTATTTTGCCACTTTTTCCCTTCTTTATCCTTCTCCTCACCACTTATTCACGAAAATGCCATTATATTCTGATTTTTTTTTTTTTAATTTCGGAAATATTGGAAAATACACAAAAACCAAAAGATCTCAAGATATTTACAAAAATGCCATCTTCTTCAATTTTGCCAACCACCATGAACAACCGATTTTGAGCTCTAAATGCATCC